AAGGATAGATAGATAGATAGATAGATAGATAGATAGATAGATAGATAGATAGATAGATAGATTACACATTCCGTGCTGCTGATATTCCAAATTTCTTATTTGTACATTGTAAAGTTGTACAAACAAATGTGTGACTTGGATGCCATGTTTTCCAGTTACCTAAACCATGGTTCCATGCAAGGTGGTATTTAAATTTAGTTCTTCTCAAGTTTACATAAATAGTTCATCACATTAACTGGATCCACATATATGTTCCAATAAGCTTAACTGTCAGAAACTCTCAACATACTCAATACAATAATTAAACCATAAAATTAAATGATAAAATTAAATGAATGTTATTGACAACAAAGACCACTGGAGTTCAGGCCCACTAGGTGGCATTACTCTCCTACTATTGCCAAAACTCAAGACACTGTATATTCACAATCTACAAACGGTATGTTGTGTGATTTTATCCTTTTTTAACAATGCATTTATGTTCAATATAATGCTAAAAAGCAATGAAATCGCCAGATGAAATTTCTTTACAACTGGACTTCACATTTGACTACTTGGATAAGCGGCTTTCAAACATTTTAAACAATGAAAAACTAATTCTGCGATGACCTGAATTAATCATTCTATGTAGGCTAAATTATTTAACCTTGTTCATATGAGCTCTTCTGACTTATTAATGAGCAAACAATTGTACCTGGCATTATTTGTCACTGTCCTTTCAATGGGCTTATAATAAGCATAGAAAATTATTTTACCAACAAAAGCTGACCATGCAGTCTATGCTTTATCGGTCTCAGTAAAGTTGATTTAGAAAACCCGACAAGAATAATGCATCAGCTAATACGAGCAAATAAGAAAGTGCCTAAACTGTGAATCAAACGCTGCTCTCCAATGGTTGGAAGCAGATGTTTGTGGAGTTCCCAGGCAAGTCAGGCACAGTTCTCGGCTCCAGCGCTCTCATCCTGACACGCACAGGAGTTTTATACCCTGTCTGCACCTGCTGACCGAGGGCTGTTTCTGTTAGCGTGGATGCCCATCATCTCAAAAGCTCGCTCGCGTATGTCTCACCAGACAGTGATTATAACGAAAGGTTTCGCAGTTCTAATGTTTTTATGCTTCCATTTGGAATATTGTGCTGTATTAATTTGGTTATAGCTTAAATGTTTGAGTCTCATAAAACCTCTGGGGTTCCAGTAGCCTGTCTCGTGTACTGGCAGGGCGCATCGCTGGTAGACACCACAAACACGGTGCCAGCTTATAAACCCCACCACCCACACACTCCATCACGCTCTGTTCCAGAGGCACCCCTTTAGAAACATCCCTTTTTGAGAGTAGGCCTATATGACATGCGGGAGACTTGTGGGTGGCCTCATTTGCCCCGGTGGACCCGTGGAGTCCGTGACCTGAGAGGGAGGACGGGGACATCTTGAGTTCTGTGACTAAGCAAAAATGCTCGGCACTCACGAGGTGAAATATTCAGGCGAGGGCATATGCATGATAATGTTTGTCATATATTAAGGTTTACATACAGGCTCGTCAACGTACGGAGCCCCTGAATGTGAGGAGTTAAAGTAGTTGGGACGAAAAATTAGGCTATATTTCAATCCTTTAGCGTTCTCTCGCAAAACTTTTGAAATCATCGCCAGAGAAATTCTGCGTTCGCTCGCTACATTTTTGTGATAGGCCACAAAATGGCCTAATACATTTTTAAGTTGATGAGTGAGAAAAAATGGCAATATTTTTGCATAAGAGATGAAACGAGGGAGAGAAAGGATGGGAGAGAAACGAGAGAGGGTGAATGAGAGGGAGAGCTCCGTTCAATGGAGCCGGCGCAAGAATTTATGATCAGGAAGGGGGATGAAAGTGTAATTTACGATCCACTCTACCGTTTTTCTGCCCTCCCCTCTGTAATGAGAAACGGCTGTTGCGTTTGGAGGGTGCGAGCCCGTTTAAGCTCCTCCCCCTGGCGATGACACACCATTAGTTTTTATTTCTGTCCCAAGTTTTACGGTCCTTGCCCGGACACCAACTACCGCCGTACACATGCTGAACCACAAACGCTATTCTGTTCGAACGCGAATCACTCATGTACACACGCAAACACCTTCCTCTCCTGTCGTGACACAGACCACCCCAGTGAAACTGCTGTTCTCTGCCACATCATTTTCCCTCGCATTATTTCAACAACCACGTGTGTTGTCATCCCTTCTTATAGCCTAATCAATTTTCCATGCCATGATTCGCAAATGAAGCACTCATTTTGATCTAATTGGCCAACAGGTTTGCAAAAAGGTCTGATTGACTTTGATTTATAGGGTAATGACAATTTATGTCCATACATAGGCTATTTGTTCATAAAAAATATGTGTCCACTTTAAAGGCTTCATCAAACATTTATGTATATATAACTAATAAAACATGTAAAGGTCCCAAAAAATTAATGCAAATTGTCTTCTTTCAATGAGATGGAGGCTAGTTGTCACACTCTTCATTTTTGAATTTCCGTTTGTATTAGCACATCCCATGGTCACTCAAATCTATAGGTTTTCACCATTATCAGCCAGGAAAAAAGAAAAGTTCATTTAAGTTGTCACAATGGAACCTGCCACTAAACAGCCTAATAGAGGCTTTCAGCAAAATGTAACCAGTGAAACAATTACAAAATGCTAAATAATTGATAAAACACCAAAAATGTCAAATGTAATGTACACAAATCTTAAAACACTGCTTAAGCTGACAAATTTTGCTGTAATTTTATATCATGAATTTGTGAATTCATGATATAAAAAATATGTGACAACTTACCCAACTACTTAAAAAATGTCCTGAAAAATATTTAGTCTGGTTGTTGAAGAGAATTTGGTATATTTAAATGTACATTTTGAAAATACTGTATTCTAATCACTTCTATATTTTATGACTACAGGGTGGACATGTTAAGCTTTTGCAAAGCAAATAAGCAAACTCATACGAAGAAAATTCGTTACCTGAAAAGTCACCAACTTGCTCACCTCAGCGGTTGAAATTCCTGCCACTGAAGAGACAAAAAAAATCTGTTGTCCTGATGTCACTAAAGGGTATGGCCTTTTCTTGAAGGGGTGGATTCCCAAATACGACAGGGTGGACAACCATTCAAGGGACATGGACAAACTCTTCTTTTTTATTAAATAAAAATATAGTTTTTATTACCAAATGATCAATACACTCAAATTGAGTAATCTCTTATTTAACAAAATATTAATAGGATCATTTTTTTTTTTAATGTATGTTTTGACAATGTTTTACTATCATTCAGATTTAATGAGCAGGGCATGAGACATAGCAAAATAACACGCACCCACACAAAACTAAAAACAATCTAGAAAATGTATCTAAAGGGCCAAGTAATGCTTTTGTTATGAATATAAAAACTTCGCCTAATATAACACACCCTTTCATAGTCATTTTTATGTTAATTTATCATGGCAATATACACACACACAGATAGATAGATAGATAGATAGATAGATAGATAGATAGCCCTGGTCTTCCATACAAATATACATAAATACACAGACAAAAAAAACATTTAGAAACGGCAACCAATGTTTATTTAGATGTTTATTTACCTTGTAGCCTTTTATAGAAATAGATATACAATAACAATAAGTATATTGCAAGATTAACGGAAGCTGACATTTTCAGTGTCATAATTCTCATTAGGGGTGTATATGGTGAACACCCACTGATCTGGGCTGCATTTCCCAAAAGCATCATAAGCCTATAGATCAGAAAAACCATTAGCACCAGTGGTCTCTACAATCCACTTCTGCTTTTATAGATAGATAGATAGATAGATAGCCCTGGTCTTCCATACAAATATACATAAATACACAGACAAAAAAACATTTAGAAATGGCAACCAATGTTTATTTAGATGTTTATTTACCTTGTAGCCTTTTATAGAAATAGATATACAATAACAATAAGTATATTGCAAGATTAACGGAAGCTGACATTTTCAGTGTCATAATTCTCATTAGGGGTGTATATGGTGAACACCCACTGATCTGGGCTGCATTTCCCAAAAGCATCATAAGCCTATAGATCAGAAAAACCATTAGCACCAGTGGTCTCTACAATCCACTTCTGCTTTTGGAAAACGCAGCCCTGGTCAGCAGGCTATGGAAAGCAAATAGACTAAGAAAAGTGTGACTGGATGCTACATGTAGATAACTGTATGATGTACAGCATTACTTCCTCAGATACTGATACTGTATGTTGCAAAGCGTTATGAATGATGTGATATATTGCATCTATTTGAACCATGATAACTGAGCAATGAAAAACCTATAAAGCATATAATCAATGCAGTGTAAGCATTATGCTGGTTTAGTTCCTCAATGGCTTGGTCACACAATACTGTAGACTTCTGTTGACCTCTCTCTTCCCCTCGCTTCACAACATAAAGGTGCACGCAAGAACACAGATTCAAAAACACACAACACATCTGACACACACACACACACACACACACACACACAATCTTTCATATACATACTTCAACACTGTACATTCCTCATATTATTGCTGCCTTCTTCTGTGCAGAAAATACTGTATTTATTTTCCCCTAATCGCAAGACATTTATTTTACATATACCACTAAAACAAGTAAAACCACTCCATCGGTTGTAAGTTATAATAAGTGCTTTGACTCTAGATATATAATAACACTTTTTGCATCATTTTTGGATAGTTTCATCATCATTAAAGTTCTTCTTTCTCCACATTCTCTCTGTAAACCACAATATCAGTTCCAGTGCCTTCTTTTGTTATAAACAACAGAAAAAAAAAAAACAGATATAAAAAAGCACTTTAAAAAAAGAAAAGAAAAAAATAACTTTTCACTCTGAGACAGACTCACAGACAGACTCCAGACTGTTTGCTACCTGTCACGAACACAAGGAGATCCAACTCTGGAGAAAAAAGAATGTGATTACAGTCCAACTTTGGAGAAAAAAGAATGTGATTACAGCTGGATTAGGTGAACCACAAGAGATTCTAATGTATTTTAGATGTTCTTTAAGCGATGTTAGGATGACGGGCCTCATTTGCAGTGATGTCTATAGTTCAGAAGCCTTTCCAATAGGTCTAAAGAGGAACATATGGAACATTTTGCCAACCACAAACAATGTTGTTTCCTGTGGGAAGGCTTACAAAAAGATGACCCTGCACACGCACAGTGCACAGTCTTTCTGGATGCTTCCAAATAGCATGAGACTAACCAACCTAGCTCCTTGGTTCCCTCAAACTTTACTCAATTCACACAGTTCATTATTCAGTACAGCAATCCTCCAGTTCTCATTGAGCATGTTTTATGTGTAGCAGCGTTATTCCTTTTTTTTTCTTCTTTTTTTGCATAATTTTGATATTGTCACGATCAAAAACTGTTTGTCTTCAGCCAACGAAGATGGGCCAAGCATTCTCCTTTCTTAGGCCCACCTGACACCACCATAAGATTAGGTCACCATGCTCGTTGTAATGGTGGGGACAGTGGTGGAGCGGTTCGAGGTCTTTTTTTTCTTGTTGCCCCCTTTGCCACTTTCTTTGGAGTCTCGTCCGCGGTTCTTGCCATTTTTTTCTCGACGGTTTTGCGGATTCTTCTTAGTTTCTCCTGAATAAATAAAGTTGCAATTAGAAAACCCAAGATGTATTATTTCATTGTTTTTAAGTAAAAAGTATTTAAAACAATGTAAATGAACTTAAGAAACAAAGCAAAACAACAACAAAAAATATTTTTAAGATATTTCTGATCCCTTTGGCAAAGTCTTTTTCTTTATTTTTTCGTTCTTGTTTTCAGAATAAACCTCACTAAATTTTATTCAATTTATATTTTTTTATTTTAAAAAAGAAAAAAATTCATTGACTAACTTAATTCTAGATATACAATTCCACTTTAACACAAATGCAAATTTGTATTTTAAGTAATTTAGACAATTAAAAACAAAAATATCTATATTTATAATAGTAAAACATAGCTACACACTAACAGAATATTGCGAATGTAAAGGATTCATAAAAAAATATATATTTCTAAAGCTGTGCTGCACATTTAAGCGTATATCCAAATGTACAAAAATGCATAAACGTTTCACATAAATAATTATAAATACAGATTAGGTCATGCAGAACTGTAATACTGTCCAAAAAACAGTACTGAAAAACACAGGCTGGTTCGTTTCCCATCAGCCTCACTTGCACTACTACAAGGGGGAGTCAGGGCCTCCAGACTGACTGATATTTGTTATGAAGTTAGTGTTGTGAGTCTCAGTGTTCCCTGGAAACCAAAATCAACACTCGTTTGGTGCTGGAGAGCATTCACTCTGCATTAACATGAGCCACAAACACAGCCACTCTGCGACTCCTGAAATTGGCTCTCTTCTCACCTCAAAGCCCTGATGTTTTACCACAAACTGTTGCATTTGTTTCTACATAAAACGCATGATTAAGAATAGAATGGAAATGACGCAAACAAACATTTGTTTAATTAAACCTTTGATTGTTAAGTTATATAAAAGCAGTTTCACTTTTACAGATTTTTTGACTTGAAATGGCATCATCGTAAACACATAAAAGACAACTTTCTTTGGCAAAAATTAAAGAGTTTAATGGACTTGATTCTAACAACAAAACAAGCAATAATTAGCATTTCCTTCGTTTATTTAACAGAACTGCCAAGGCCTGTAAAACACAAACAGCAGTTCTTTTTGCTATATATAAAGTCTATATCAAAGATATGATGTTGTTTGTAATGATGCCTGTTACATTATTGAAGCGTCAACAACTGAATATTTCCACAATATTACAAGAGAAAGTGTGCTGTTGTACTGTTTTTCCACTGCACATAATCACAAACACTATTCAGAACTTTTTTGGGAGTGCTACTGCTTTTATACAACAGATGAATAAACAAGAGGTTAATATTGTAATAATATCTTACTTGACACAATATGGCCCAATATTTAGTTTATTTTGCTCCACTAACGAAAATTCAAACAAAGCCAAAGTAGAGCCGCTGCGCATTTCAGAGTAACACACAGTAGTGGTGTTTCGATTACTGTTTTTGAGCAAATCGGTTGAGTGAACAAGTCAATGACTCATTTATAAAGACACTTGCTTGTTTTCTTCCTAACCAAATCAGTAGCATGTTTTGAACAAGTCGTAAAGACATGTGATTGCTTTGTACAACAATGAATCAGTATGTTTTGAACAAATCAGCTAATTGAATAATTCAACAAATCACTCAATAACTAAATCCACTTATTAAGGCCTCATGGTCGCCATATTGGAGGGCCGAAGTGCATAAAACTGGCCACTTCAAAGGGCCCTTCAGAATGAGACTTTGCTTCCATGATTCCATGCTTCCAAGTTTAATTATGTAATGGTGCCTCCTAAATTGGCTCATCAAAATGACGCAAAGCGTGTTTGCAAGTAACAGAAGGGATTTCGAAGGAATTAGAGAATAAGGAACTGGGATGAGCCCTTCTGGATGGAACGCAGTGAGTCATTTGTTTGGTTCCTGAATGAATCAGTGTGTTTTGAACTAATCATTTTAATGAATGATTCACTGACTCATTCATCACTCATAAAATCACTTGCTGTTAACTTCCCAGATTCGTCCAGTCAGATTAGAGGACTAGAGATAAATGTTGTATGTATTGTATCAAAGCATATCACAGTCTTATCAGTGAGATGATTTCTGAAGTTTAACAAGTCTAACACAATTCTATTGTTTAGTATTCATTGCTTTGAGAACAGCAATCCCGTGTGAAGAATTCAAAGGCCTTGAGTTTGCTAAATGCCTCTACTCGAGTGTCAGTTAATCACGATTTTAAAACCGAGGTGAAGCGAAAAAAACATGGAAGGAAATGGAGCTTTAAACTTTGGATCCACATGGAGGAGAATTGTTAGCTTTGATAAAGCGGTAAGAGCGCTTGGGGAGGATCCATTCATTTATGACAGCAATAATTACAGCGCTGCTCAGTCCAACCTAAACACTATTGCCTGACAAAGGCAATCACGCGTTTAGCGTATTCGGTTTTCGTGCAAAGACATTTATTAAGCTACAGGAAGGGGAAGAGAAAGGGGGAGGGGGGGTTTGGCAAAATCAACACAAAGCGTGAGATCTGCAGACCAGTAAATCACCGGTGTTATACAAGCACTGCCCCCTGTGATTTTTACAGCAGCCCTTTCAGCCAATTCCTGCAGATGTATTCACAGCCTTGCTAATTTAGCACGAGGTGCACATTTACGCACTGAGGAAAAAAAGAGGGCAATCGGGCCATGCAACCCATAACCTATGAGTTTTTTTTAGACCTGAGCTGCATTAATTCTTTTCGCCCTGAGAAGTGGGTGGTGTTGCTTTGCTTTTCTGGCGAAAAACATGTTTTGACTCCAGCCAGCACATAACTGATCCTATCTTAACACAGTTAGGGAAAGCATGATATTATGAGATTGAACTAAAAACAAATGACTTTACATGTGTCCATGCCTATTAGTTCACCATTGCTCTCTCTCTCTCCAAAAGCTTTTCCGACAAGTGGACTCTCTAAGTTTAGAAATTTGGCAGGCGACATAGCACTTTTATGTGGCAGTTTATAATATTTCACTGTTAATTATTCTTATGGAGCCTGGGTGGAAATTCTTTCCACAAATGTGGGCGTCATGCAGAGTAAATTTGCCTCTCATTTCTCAAATGGCGCTGTCACACCTAGTCCAGCAAAGCATGGAGCCTACTTCTCCCGACAGAAGAACAGCAAGCGCTTGATCTTGTGAGGCTGTTCGCACAGAATAAGACGTCATTTCCAGGAACGCACTGTTTCTCAACAGTGTGACGACAACTAAGCGCTCTAGAAGGTATGTTCGGGTGTTTATTTTAAGAACCACTCAAAGCATGATGCTACGATTAGCTTAGATTGAGTCATGAATCATGCAATTTCCTAAACTGATATGAATCGCTTGAATAAATGATTAAATTAAAGGAGATCTCTGGTTTGGAAGATATATATTGGAGGACCTAAAAGAGAAAATACAAAAATAGACTATGAGTGAAAGCAATTACAATCACGCAAACACTTTTTATTAGCCTGGATTGATTTCTGAATTGGCATTGACATTGCAAGGTCTGCTGTAAACTATTCAGCTGTAAATTTCATGAAGCGTTCATGAAAACAATCTGAGCAAATGAATTATTTTTATTTTTGAAAAGCCCAGTGGTTATCGGAGTGTGGGAGACTTCCTTAGTTTACAAATTTTGTTCACCTGCAGACATTCAAAACTATCACATTGACAACAAACACAAGATCCAGTAAGGTTTGAGGTTTGTTGCAATTCCTTCTTTTCCACTCACTGCACTTTCTTGTATGCATGATTTGAATGTAGGGAGCGCACTAAACTTCAGTCTTCACGCAAAGTAACTGATTGACTTCAGGAATATAGCATAAAAATTATAATGACTGTGTATCATACTTTTATGTGCTTTTTAAGCTTGACAGTTATGATCATCTTCTCATCCTTGTTTTCATGGATAAAAATGTCATTCAGGTTTAAAGCAGCACAAAGGTTTTTATTTTGGGCAAATGATTCCTTCTATATTACCTCTGTATACTTTAAGAGCCATTTATTAAGGGATCTTTTAATGGCAACAATGTTTACTGAAAATATACTGTATATATACTGTATATATAATTACTATATATATAGTAATAAGAAATTACGTATAAGTTGTAATATAAGTTGTAAGAAATTGCACAAAGTTTAAAGATGTTTTTAAATGTTTTTGAAAGTATGCTCCCCAAGGCTAAATGTATTTGATTATTCGAAAATACTTTAAAAACGGTAATATATATTTTTTAATATTATTAGAATTTAAAATAACTGTTTGCTATTTTATCTTAAAATGTAATTTATTACTGTGATGGGAAAGCTGAAAACAGTTGTGCTGCTTAATTTTTTGTTATTTATTTATTTATTTTATTTTTGTGGAAACCTTGAAATGTTTTCATCTTTGGTGAATAGAAAGCTATAAAGGACAGCATTTATTTGAAATAGATTTATTTTGTAATAATGTAAAAATAAAAATCATTTTAATGCATCCTTGCTTAGTAATTGTAACATTTCTTTAAGAAGAAAAAAAATCGAACTGACCTGAAACTTTTGAACGATGGTGTAACCACTCAGTTAACCAATGAGCTGAAAATTCTTGTTTGGTTCATTAAAAGCTTTTTTTGTAGGCTCATACAATAAATTACTGTTTTCTTCCAAGCAAACTCCTATATTTTAGGCTGAAATCTACACAAGCCATCCAGGAGAGTATAATGGTCAAGAGAAACGTATTCAGACTTTTACGAACAGATTACAGACTGGTCCACTACAGGTCCACTAACGTTCCGTTCCCGCTCGAGAGCCAAAGCAGCATATTAACCTCACTTTCCGGTAAGTTAAAGCAACAAACAAAAGGCCGCCCTCAGATCCGCAGCCAGCGACGAAAAGATTACAAACCAGCTGGGCTTCTGTTTATTTACTGGGAACACTCAAGGATTTATTTACACCGTATTATGTCAAAAACCATAAATAAACTAAATCAAATTAGTTCCAGGAGACTGTTTACATGTTCTTCCGAGTGGCCAAAAATGATAAATGATCAATAAATCAACAAATCTGTAATTTGCAAACATGCGCATTGAAGTTGGATAACAGATTTCACGCATTCCTTTCAGCACAAGCATTTCATATCCATCCACTTTCCAACATTTTTGTGTTGTTCTTTCTCTGATTTACCTTTGCAAGGGATCTTTTTCTGCATGGTACATCTTTGGGTCTGTGTCTCTGGGACGCAGCCCGAGGGCGGAGCGGCCCCTGTGGAAGTGGCAGGACTTAGAAGCTGTAAGGGCTCCCTGGTACGGGTCTGGTTACCCTTTTTAAAGCCACATGTTTTGTTCTTCTTCATGCAAGGGCCCCACGGACTCCACTCACTTAGATCACATTGGACTGCAACACAGACATAAAAACAGAATAACCAATTTTTTACAATGAATCTAGTATATGCCAATTACACAATTTACTATATTTTCAGACAATAGGGAAAAGACAGTAATTGCTTGGGGTTTGTACATTTTGTTCCTCTGGACGGGGGTCTGAGAAACAAGTTACTCCAAACAAAAGTTGAAGAAACTGCATTAGGAAACCCCAAAGAATTCACAGCGGAGATTCAGACTGCTAAAATCCAGCATCACTCACATTTTCCAATTACATTTTGCTAAAAAGATGAGCATGTGTTATGATTGTATGAGGTAGTCTCCATTTTTATTCAACGTAATGACAAGCTGTCAAGCTCCAGACTTCCAATTGCATTGAGTGGTTTCAAGCAGTTTTCAAGTCTTTTCTAAGTATCCAATTTTTTTCGGTCTAAAGTGTTTGGGGGCAGGACAGTCAAAGGGAACTCATCTCTGCCAAAAACAATCACAGACTGAAAAATACACATAACAAAGTGGTGGACTGACCCGTTGACGCAGGTGAGGCATCATAAGCTTTGGCAAAATGTCACACTGGAAGTCGAGGCTCCCCATTTAAAGACCAAACAGCCTGGAGGAGCCAGCACCACCATTGCGAGTAATGCTATTGGTGCTGTGTTTGCTTGCTTCTGACAGAAATATTTTCAAAAGAAATCAATAAAAACCCTTATCATCCAACAGGCCTTTTGCCAACGTTCCTCTCAACAGCGATTGAGAAACCACCGAAAAAAGAAAACAGAATTGAAGGAAATAAAAAAGCACAAGGTATCCGAGAAGTTTCCAGTTTTATCATTCCATCGGCATAACTGAGTCACAACAACTATTCATATAAAAGTCATTCCATGACATAAGTGCCATGTGCCGACAACATCTGGTGACATGCACTAAACCAAATACCTTATATACTGGCTATATACAAAATAAAACCAGATCAGATTCTGATTTATATATTACTGTTATACAATATGATGATAGTGTATTTTAATACAATAAACCTTTATATATTTGTAGCAATAGCCAAAAATACACTGCATGGGTCAAAATTATCGATTTTTATCGACTTTTATGCCAAAAATCATCAGGATATTAAGTAAAGATCATGTTTCAAGAAGATATTTTGTACATTTCCTAACGTAAACATATCAAAGCTTAATTTTTAATTAGTAATGTGCATTGCTAAGAACCTCATTTGGACAACTTTAAAGGCGATTTTCTCAATATTTCTTTTTTTGGCACCCTTCCAGATTTTCAAATAGTTGTATCTCAGTCAAATAATGCCCTATCCTAACAAACCATACATCAATGGAAAGCTTATTTATTCAGCTTTCATATGATGTATACATCTCAATTTCGAAAAATCGACCCTTATGACTGGTTTTGTGGTCCAGGGTCACATATAATAAACATTTCTTAAACACTGCATTAACTACAAAAAATGTGTAATTGTGTCATTTTAAATGACAAAAATGTAAAAGTATGAGGTAGTAAATTGCTGTTCAGTTTTGCTGATAAAATCTAACAGAAATTTATATGTGACCCTGGAGCACAAAACCAGTCATAAGGGTCCATTTTTCAAAATTGAGATTTATACATCATCTGAAAGCTGAATAAATAAGCTTTCCATTGATGTATGGTTTGTTAAGATAGCACAATATTTGGTCGAGATACAACTATTTGAAAATCTGGAATCTGAGGGTGCAAAACATCAAAATATTGAGAAAATTGCCTTTAAAGTTGTCCAAATGAAGTTCTTAGCAATGCATATTACTAATCAAAAATTAAGTTTTGATATATTTATGTTAAGAAATTTACAAAATATCATAATGGAACATGATCTTTACTTAATATCCTAATGATTTTTGGCATAAAAGAAAAAACGATAATTTTGACCCATATAATGTATCGTTGGCTATTGCTACAAATTTACCCGCGCTACTTATGACTGGTTTTGTGGTCCAGGGTCACATATTACAAATCGGTTTCCTAAAATGGCACCTAGGCACTCATTTTTCCTATGACTGAAAAAGACACATAAACAATATATACTAGAAAATGCTGTTGTACAACCTTATACAAGTATAATGTTGTAAATCCCTGGCTTGTGCAGCTCACTCACCTACACACTCCATGGTGCCATTGACGGTGAATCCTTCAGGACAGCTGGAGAAACACCGCCCTCTGTGTGAGTACAGGCCCTCCTTACATTTTGTGCAAAAGTTTCGGCTAAAACATGCCTCACAGTTTTCTATTTTACATTCTGAAATCAAGAAAGACAATAACAGTTACATGTTGATTTTACAAAAACATTTTATTTAAATAATTCTGCTTATTTTTGACATTGAAGAAGTGGACAGACATATCTGGTGAATTTAAATTATTATGGCTATTAGAGTTTCTTACCTAAAAAGTAGTCAGTTCAAAAATGTCAAGACTCTCATATGGTTTCCTCACACCTCATTACATCTCATTACAAGTCTGCTGTCTTCGATCAAACTTACAAACTGACTCAAATTGGGGGCAATTGTGGATTTTGGCAGAATGAAAACCAGACACCTACCAAATGAAACAGAATCCACCTCCCCACTCATAACCCCTTCAAAATTATCATCATTATCTCATTTTGATAAACAGGGGATCTAGTTCTTAACTATAAATCTCACTCTTTTCTTTTGGTGATTTTGGATAAATCCTAGAAGGATTTACAGTGAGGTCCAAAAGTCTAAAACCTGATGATCATGTCATCCAGAATGATTTGAGATGTTTTAAAGTACTTCAGTGGAAGCATGAGCAAATGTTCTCATTTTAGGTCATATTTCTTTTTTTTTTAAATATTTGAAATCCTAAAACTGATTATTTCCCGTTTTAAATGTAATTTTAAATCCCTTTTTTTTCTTCTGACTGACACAGACTGAACTTTAAATCGAGGACTGCAAATAATTTCACAAAACAGATTTCAATGCTAAATTGCCGTGACATGCGAAAATGTGCAAAAATAAGGTTCTTACATTTCCGTTCGAATACCTGGGACATTCTCAGAGCAGCAGCACAAGGATATCTCGGATATCGCCGGGTCCCGGCCAAAAGCAGAGGAGGGCCTAACAACATACTTGAGCTGTGTTTTTTGTTATAACCTCTGCTCTCAATTACTACTTTAAATGCCTGACAACTAAATTAGTAATGTTTGGAGCAAATTCTTTTGCACTCAAGCATTTACAAATGTACCCTTAATACAAGACAAATGTTGTTAACAAGACATCATGGGGATCTGGAGACAAATCAAATGCACGCAGCTGATTGAATAATTGCAACGGGGCAGCCACTCAGAGGTCTGAGATGAAGGAGGGATTCGCATGCACAGCCGTCTTTCAAAACAGGACAAAAACACTCAAAATGAGAAAGAAGCGAACACGTCAGAGGGAAATGTTGACAAGAAGGAGTCTGGTGACGTCCGCAGCGATTTGGAGTCGACACCTGTGGATACGACGTATTTTGGTCTCAATGTGTGGGTCATAAAAATACTTAAGCTAACAAGCGGACAGCTGCATGTTGTATTTCAAAGCAAGTGTAAAGTATACAGTCAAGAAATTATGAATTAAAGGCTCCAGAGGGTTGTGAAATAAAAACAGCGCTCCACTAATTTCTCACTTCCCTTGATGCTAACATTTAAATTTAAGGTTATCTAGAATTAAAGTTTAAATCAGAACCATCTGAGAGGTATTAGGCGGAGTGATGCAAGAGTGTCTCTTGGTAACAAAAGTATTTTCTTCCTATAACAAAATATAATGACTCCAAGCTGTGGTTCACACTAATTGGCTATCAAAACATGCTTGAAAAGGGAGCAGGCCGTTCAATTTACAACTGGAAAAGCTCTGGTAGGTTGAAGTTAGAAAAGGCTCAAATAAAGCTATTAATTTCCTCCCACAACAGGAGTAAAGAGGTACCACCAATCAATTTATGAGAGGTATTTCCTTGTTTATCCACAGTTATCCCCTGCTTTGCCTTTATCACTATAAAAATGCTCACGCACATGATGGGAACGGGCCGCCGAGTCTCTGGCTGAAACCTAGAGAGCGCACTATTAAAACAAAGAGGATGATTAAAGGTAAGTTCTCATTATGCTTTTTGCGTAGGGTTTGCGTATACATGCAAATACATCTAAAGAATACATACATATATAAAAACATTAGCATTTTTACAATTTAAAAGTGTATTTTTATAATATATTTTTTTTATTGTAATTTATCATCAGTCTTCACTGGCACATGATCCTTCAGAAATCATTTTAATATGCTGATTGGCACAGCTTACCTTATTGTCTCCTACTTATTTACAGTTTTGAAACTAGAAAAATATACCAGTAGAGCAAAGACTCACGTGTGCATTTGTTCATATCACGATTTCGAATGCCATAATATCCAACAGGACAGGCAGCGAGGCAAATGCCTATCTGACGGATGTCATTCCGCTCTAGTAGGATGAAGAGCCGGGGTCGACATTTAAGACAGCCGTTGAACTCTGAGCAGTGTTCACAGCCATTTGAGCACGATGGTGGTACTTCAGTGCTTACTGATGGAAGAAGGAAAGAGAAATAGGAGTGAGCGTGATACTGGCAGCATCTCCTTACAGTTTAGAAGACCCTGTGTAATCCCAGGTGCTTACAATGACTAGTTAAGTAAACTAGTTATGTGCTTTCCAAGGGATTAGACAGCTTGATTACAATGTCACTTTCCAGCCACTGCTACCTGGATTTGAACCTGTAGCCTCTGAATAAACTACCAAGATGAGTTTACCATCACCCCTTTTTTATCAAGATAAAGTCATTATATCATACAAAGAAAGACAGAACGACAGACCGACAGACAGACAGACAGACAGACAGATAGATAGATAGATAGATAGATAGATATTTCAGCAGTGCTGTGTGTAATAATACAAACTCTGTATGTGTAATATAATTCATTTGGGAGAGCACTGTGAGAACTGGCTATTCAATTTGGGACATTGCACACAGATTTTTCATGGGTCAGCTAGGAAGAAAGAGGCCTGAAACTTCAGTCTGTACTTGTTCTGTCTAGGTGCCCCAAAACGCTGACACATGACGAAATAAAATCAGTTACAGATATCTAAGAAAGCTCACTCATCCCTTGTGACTTCCATGCCTTGCTTGTAACATCCAAAAATTTCTGCATTTGAGGCCAAGAAGAAATAAACGATTACTCCGAAAGCATGTCAGAGTGCACATCCTGTTCCTGGTAGGCTGACTGGAGTCAAAACTGCAGTCATCTGCTTTAATTTACGGGGCTATGTGTGTAGCATTAGCTCTAAATATACACTCTCTCAGGGCAATCAATCTCTGTGCTGAAAAGTGTTAAAATGGCATCCCACTCTAAATAAGCTGCGAGTACAGTGAGTGATGTAACGTAATAGATAAATACAACCCTTAAATTTACATATTTTTACTGGAAAACATGAGAAAAATACCTATTAGATCACTCCTATAACAAAATATAATGACTCCAAGCTGTGGTTCACACTAATTGGCTTTCAAAACATGCTTGAAAAGGGAGCAGGCCGTTCAATTTACAACTGGAAAAGCTCTGGTAGGTTGAAGTTAGAAAAGGCTCAAATAAAGCTATTAATTTCCTCCCACAACAGGAGTAAAGAGGTACCACCAATCAATTTATGAGAGGTATTTCCTTGTTTATCCACAGTTATCCCCTGCTTTGCCTTTATCACTATAAAAATGCTCACGCACATGATGGGAACGGGCCGCCGAGTCTCTGGCTGAAACCTAGAGAGCGCACTATTAAAACAAAGAGGATGATTAAAGGTAAGTTCTCATTATGCTTTTTGCGTAGGGTTTGCGTAGAAATACCGAAAAATATGGCCAGAGTTGAACTACCATGAACTCTGCATTTACAGCCTACAATAATAACACAGACTTCCTAGAAGAAACAGACAAACAGCCGCGTATTACCAATGTTTTGCTTTGCATTACATCCCCCAACCCTGTTTTTCACCCACAGAGTAAGAGAAAACAGATCACTGGCCCAGCATTTGGCATCCACGGGTCAGATGCACTAGTTTAATATCATTGGTGGTTACAGTATTAATGAATGTGGTGAATAATGTGATTGTTTCGTAACTACACAATTTGTGCCATCTTTCCAATGATGTTAAACACTGTATAACTGACGTTAAAGCCTTGCGAATGGGCTAAGGTAGGTCATTTTATGGCACTGTGCTGTTCAGATAACTCATCTTCTCTTTTTTTAGGAAGGGAGCGGGGTAAGATGTGTCAATGTGCAAGCTGTGTCACTTCCCTTTAATCGAAGAAACTGCACATTTTTGTTATGTGATAACATGTACGGCTATTGTTTTTTATGCAAATACATCTAAAGAATACATACATATATAAAAACATTAGCATTTTTACAATTTAAAAGTGTATTTTTATAATATATTTTTTTTATTGTAATTTATCATCAGTCTTCACTGGCACATGATCCTTCAGAAATCATTTTAATATGCTGATTGGCACAGCTTACCTTATTGTCTCCTACTTATTTACAGTTTTGAAACTAGAAAAATATACCAGTAGAGCAAAGACTCACGTGTGCATTTGTTCATATCACGATTTCGAATGCCATAATATCCAACAGGACAGGCAGCGAGGCAAATGCCTATCTGACGGATGTCATTCCGCTCTAGTAGGATGAAGAGCCGGGGTCGACATTTAAGACAGCCGTTGAACTCTGAGCAGTGTTCACAGCCATTTGAGCACGATGGTGGTACTTCAGTGCTTACTGATGGAAGAAGGAAAGAGAAATAGGAGTGAGCGTGATACTGGCAGCATCTCCTTACAGTTTAGAAGACCCTGTGTAATCCCAGGTGCTTACAATGACTAGTTAAGTAAACTAGTTATGTGCTTTCCAAGGGATTAGACAGCTTGATTACAATGTCACTTTCCAGCCACTGCTACCTGGATTTGAACCTGTAGCCTCTGAATAAACTACCAAGATGAGTTTACCATCACCCCTTTTTTATCAAGATAAAGTCATTATATCATACAAAGAAAGACAGAACGACAGACCGACAGACAGACAGACAGACAGACAGATAGATAGATAGATAGATAGATAGATATTTCAGCAGTGCTGTGTGTAATAATACAAACTCTGTATGTGTAATATAATTCATTTGGGAGAGCACTGTGAGAACTGGCTATTCAATTTGGGACATTGCACACAGATTTTTCATGGGTCAGCTAGGAAGAAAGAGGCCTGAAACTTCAGTCTGTACTTGTTCTGTCTAGGTGCCCCAAAACGCTGACACATGACGAAATAAAATCAGTTACAGATATCTAAGAAAGCTCACTCATCCCTTGTGACTTCCATGCCTTGCTTGTAACATCCAAAAATTTCTGCATTTGAGGCCAAGAAGAAATAAACGATTACTCCGAAAGCATGTCAGAGTGCACATCCTGTTCCTGGTAGGCTGACTGGAGTCAAAACTGCAGTCATCTGCTTTAATTTACGGGGCTATGTGTGTAGCATTAGCTCTAAATATACACTCTCTCAGGGCAATCAATCTCTGTGCTGAAAAGTGTTAAAATGGCATCCCACTCTAAATAAGCTGCGAGTACAGTGAGTGATGTAACGTAATAGATAAATACAACCCTTAAATTTACATATTTTTACTGGAAAACATGAGAAAAATACCTATTAGATCACCTCATTCATCAAACTAAAAAAAAAATAGCTTTTAACCACTAATATCAATCAATTAATCTACCATTAATATTCAGTAGCAAGGACTCCCTAGTGGGTTCAGGTCCATAAAAAGATTATTACAAGCGGCTCATTTTCAGGCAATGGGGTGTCCTTTATCCGATTACTGCTTTCCTCTCCACAGCTGAAATAAATGAAAAGGTCTCTCAGCAGGAACAATAAATATGAAACTAGAATTATAAATGATGAATGTTAATGATTGTTTTGCACGGGTCTATTAAGCAGCAGGAAGGTTGGTTAGGTTTACGTTGCACACATGCTAAAAAAGACAGCATCAGTTGCCACTGCACTTCTAGACAGTGTTATATCATTATGAGTAGAATGTCCTCTTTGGATTTGCCTTTCAGAATCAAAAATTTCCCTGAAATGAAAAAGTAGTCAATGCAGTAAGAGCATCATTAAACATAATGGATCAATCCATAGGATTGGACATCTGGCTCAGCATAGTGTATGACTTCTGCCTGCATTCATGGCACCGTCCATGAAGAAAAAGTTGACCCTCAGATGACTGTAGCCAATTAAAGTCTAAAGATATTGCTTTTATTGCCTAATTTTACTTTTTACATTAGCATGTTCATTGTTTATGAATTTACATCATGTTAATCTCTGGTTTGTATTTCAAAACAAATGCACCTCCAGACTTTTTTTTCTCAGAATCCGGGCTAGAAAGAGTCCTTCATTTGAACAATTTAAAATTGGCCTTAAAATATAAGAACATATCAAACTGTAAGAATGTGTAAGATAGCAATGTTATTTTTTTGTATCAGAATGTACACATCTTGCTCTTTCAGGTTATTCGTATTGCATTTTTGCATTTATTAAAAACAAATTTTTTTTTGCAGCTCACACTCATACGTTTCCCCCTTGAAACCATAAAATGAGTAATTTTATCCAGTTGAATAACATGAAACTATTTTGCTATCCCCGAGAAACAATAAGTGTGGTGATGAATTGTACATTAAAATATTAAAGCTTTCCACTTCATTAACAAGTAAGTGTGAAAAAGACCTAAATCCCTACAGGAGTTGCCTAGAATGTGGCTGGTTTACAATGACCTAAACCTCAGAGAGGAACAAAACAGAATTTTGTATTTTGCATGATTTCTTAGAAAGCAGTAATAAGTCTTCATCAGCAGCGTTTTGAGGAACTACAAACAAGACCTTTGGCTACATCGGTCACATTCATTGATTTTAGCTGGAAAAAAATATAAATATCCCATTTACTGCATCAGACTTGTTTTCAGAGAATATATCTTTATTTATATTTAATTGATGTAATGTTCTTATACACTAGCAAATACATTTTGTCTTGTTTAAAAACATTAGCCTGGCAAAATTTAGAAAGGTTTATGCTTAAAGCAAGAAATCAATTTAGCTAATCCGGTAATGGAAATAAACGTAAATCAAAATATATTCCCTGCAAACAGATCTTATTGCTTACACAATTTTAAAAGTAAATTTATCTTGTTTAAAGGATGTTTAGACATTTTAGTGGAAAAATGGGGCAAAAAATACTGATTAAAAAATATTTTTGCAATGTACATGAGTGAGCAGAATAGCTGAATCCCTTTTTGACGCAACAGGTGCCGTGCCATAAAATGAATGTACAGAGCGGTATCATAATTTAAAATAGTTTATAACGAGCAAAAATAAACACTTAGACAAAATGAAATATTAGATGTTTTGCTGGTATGGTTTGGATATTTTAGAGGGAGGGAAAAAAGCAGCGTGACTGCTGATCAGTCACTTGTATAAAAACAGCTGTCAGAGGTGTTTGCTTTCATTTTGTTGATAAAACTGCTAGAAAACTCCGCTATCAAGAAGTACTAGTCAGATGAGCTTACAGTGAGGTCAAGAAGTCTTAACAGATTGTGAAGTATCAGCAGATTTATTTCACTGAGTAACTCACAGTTTATTTCTCCTCGGATAGCTTTACATTCTGCCATTGTGTTTTGATTTACACGTCTAGGCTTCCTCATGCTACATGATTTCTAGCTTCAGCCACCTGCTATAACTCTCACAACACAATATATGTTTGTTTTGTTGCTTATAGTTTCTGGCAGGTGTATAAATGTAAAAAATACTATTGTCTCTTAATAACAAAGTTAAAAAAGAGCAGTCTAACCAGTAGCAAATGCAATGCAGATTCGTGCACAGCCAGTGTAGTTTTACCTACAACCTCCTCTAGAGGAGGCTGTACACTCCTCAACACTGCCAGCAGTGGTCAATGTACAATTTACACTGAATAATGACAATCTCAACCCTTAAAGTCAAATTAGGATAAAAAAACAAAATTTAATTTGATCATCAGGTTGACTTTTTAACATTACACCGAATGCATTATTGAGTATTTGATAGCAGTACACAAAAATAAGACTTTCCATAACCATAAATGTGTCCTTTAAAATATGAAATACTAAACCTACATCAGCGCTCTTACTATGAGATGTGCACACATATATAATAACTTTGGAGGTTGATTTCCCACCATTATTCCAAAGCCTCGAAGTATTTACTTAAAGAATATTTGATAGCAGTATACTAAAAACTAATAATAATAATAATAATAAGATAAGCCACTTTCAATAAACATGAATGTGTTCTTTAAAATAAGAAACACTAATTTCATGTCAGTGCTCTCTCACGCATAAGAGAACTCAAGCAATATTTCAGAGTGAGTTCTGCAGCATGTGTGGGTTTCAAAACTAACTTTTCCAAAAAGAAGAAAAACAAAAAGTCGTAAAAAGGTAAGAGCTGCTTTGAAGCCAGACAAATTACCAAAGTGAAGTGTGTTACGCATTATATTTATGTATTCAGGCAAAAAAAAAAAAAAAATCTAACGAGTGACATTTGACTATGCTTAGGAACATAACATGCTCATTTAAAATTGACTCTTAAAAAGCAAAGTTGCTATTAAAAGCAACAGAACAGGTTCTACACAAGCAATACCCCACAAAACTGGCTGAAAAAATGACAAGAACATTCCAAGGAACTCAGAAATGCTCTAATGAGCCACAAAAATAGGAACTGACATGTTAAATGTTGCATTGTGTCTCAAGGGACAGTGAGCTATCTAATGATGTGACCTTACGAAAGAGACATAAAGAGACATCAGCACTCACTTCGTCTCTGTCTTCTTGCTTTGGAGGCCTTGAGGTTATCGCCGTGACCCATGGAGCTGAGGAAGACAACTGCCAGCGCCACCAGTCCCAAATGCATAGTCCCTGCTGCCCAGTCACGCTGGGTCCCGCCTGCAGGCAGACAGATCACAGCTGAGGGGGCCCCTTTCACGCTGTGGCAGGTGGAACGAAGTTGACTACAGCCGGCCGCGACACCCTTGGCTGGAGGCCTCTGCCGCTGCAAGTCCGTACATGTTCGGAGAAGAAACCATAGCACTCAAGAGGATGAAGATGAGAACGATGAAGTTCTGGGTGCGGAGATCTGGGCGAGATGAGATCTTGTGGACAACACGAACTGCCCTTCAACCCATGAAGCCGGGGGCGAAACCGAGAGGAGAGAGAAGCTCGCGGCGGTCGCAGCCACGAGAGCCTAACGTGAGTGAGCAACCCAGCCCAGGAGCATGTGTCTTATTAGGGATGCTGGGAGGAGGAGGGGGAGTGCCGAAAAAAACGAGAGAGATGGAGAGAGGTTCTGGACTCCTACGCGTGACAACGCATCCGTCAGTGCCAAGATCTGCTGCGGAGAGACAGACAAAAAGGGGCGAGCGAGGGAAGGAGGGAGTTGGATGAGGAGAGGAGTGGGTGAATGGGGGGAGAAAAGCACAATGAGACATGTATATAAAACGGTACTTTGTTAAGTCAGCATGTCAAAAGAAAGTCCGAATATCTTGCCCAAGGGAAGAGATGCAAGTTTTTCAATTTTATGCTTTGAAAAGTGAATACTTTAAAAACAACTTTTACATTTTCTGTAAACTGTCATAAAATACTTTTTGGAATCAAGGAAAAGACGACTGAAAGAAAATAGCCTTACGCAGGGCTTACATAACTGCACTCTTTCATCTTTATCACTGCTCTTTCTCAACGAAGTTCAGCATTTCTGCGCTCTAAATTTGTTAAATTGATTCATGGAAGTCTGGTTTGGAACTATACATGCGGACACAATAGTTTGAGTAACATAACCCGAAACTGGTATTTTGTCAGTTTAAACCACACATTCCTGCCATGCTTACTTTTTCCTTGGCCAGATAGATTCATGAGCCGGGAAAGCAAACAAAATGTTTCATTTTAAATGTAATTTCCCATTAAGACTGACAAGAGCTGAAGTGTCTGGCCACTAAAGCTAAAGTTGATTCGACCAGAAACAGGGCACCGTGAAACAAATACCACAATAACCTTCGGTCGATGCACATCCAAAAGTATGGAATGGAAAAAAAAAAAAAAACATGTTTACCCCATCTGTCAGAAAACAATAGACTGAAAAATGTCTCTCAAGCAGCGAAAGCGTTCACATTTACGCCTCTCACTATGACAGATAGATATGTTTATAGAATGATTCTTAATCACATTCCAGCAGAAATGGATGAGCGTTCTGGTTTTACGCAAGAGAGACATCATGCCTGGAAGTATGAGGAAAGCAGGGCCATATTTGGCCACAGGTCCTCTGGATCTTGTATCATGTTATTTGTTCATTCTTAGCATACCAAAAAGTGCTTTTAAATGCCAAAAAAAAATCTACAGATATCTATACTTCATTTTAGCAATTCAGCACTCCTCAGAAATGAGAAGCTGACTCTATAAATTGTAATTTATGAACCAACATGCAAGACAAACATGATTTTCCCTCAGTTTGGTTTGAATTTGACTTCAAATGGGTGAAAGTACAGCGGGTGGACACTTTGTGCAAATGTGTCATGCAATTGTAAAACATTATTAAGAAAAAGCATAATGGTGTTTAATTGTAGCATGACAAATAGCACAAACAACAACAAAAAAATCTCGTTCTCTGTGCTAAATGGCTGTTAACAGGATCTTTTGGTTACAGTGATGTGGTAAAACTAAGCGAAAGCAAAGATTAATAAACCACATACACAGATGTGGTAGCAGATGTGGTTTAAATGAAGGGAAAATAAGGAAATAATATTTATCTTGCACATCAGGCATTAAAACGATAATCTTTCTCCAGTCTGGAAGGAATAAGAAGGACTTTTCTTACAACCTCCTCTCTTTCCACCAAAACTTACGGACATCTTCTCTCCACTAAGTTTATTTATCTTAGACAATGAATAATACTCCGATGTCTTCGACACCTTCTCCGTATTTATCAGACAGAGCCAAAACCTCCTGTTGCCTGCTGTTCGTAGCACTCGTCAGCAATATTAATTAGGAGAGATATGGCAAGTCTGACGCACAGATATGCCATCGCCCTGGAACCAGAAAGGGGATTTATCCAGAAAATAAAAGATGATGTTCTGTGAGAAGAAAAAAGCTCAGGTGAAGTCAAAAAAGGGAAAATATCTGGAGATATAAAATCTAAAGGAAAAATGGCAATCATAAGGAGAAATCCAAACAAAAACAATGCATAAAGCCTTCCTCTTTAACCAATATTGTTTATCTAAAATTAAATCTAATCCAAGCAAATCTTTAATAAATGATACTCTCATTTCCCAAATAAACCTCTGAGTGTGACACAAGGGGCATCCCCACCATCTGACTGATTATCCCTTTGAGCTAGTCTGAGCTTGCACTGTGACAACTCTTCCTGTTTGAAGTCTCTGCTCTCTCATCCATTAACCGACAGCAGATACACAGTTCTGTTATTCTGTTTCGCTCACTCAGCTAAACAACAAACCAAAACTCACTCTCATTTCATGGGAAGTAGATTAAATTGTCTGTTGTGTAAATTCTCTCGATGCATCAGCTGCAAAGTGCAACAATTAACTCAAGAACATACAGTTTCACATTACAATATTAGTGAAGACCAAACTTTTTCAGGCAGCAAACCAGTTTTGAATTTCACTCCTTTTCACCTACTGTCTGCAACCGGTCTATAAATTTGTTAGGCTGCTACAAATTTGTTGTTTTATTTAATTTAAATAACTTCCATCTAATGAACCTATATGCTTTCTGTATATAAAATAAATCAGCTAAATATATTAAATATTTCATATATGCATGTAAAGTTGTAAACTATAATAATATTAAAGCTCTATTATGAAATAAACTATATAAAAATAATATGATATCTATATATTATTTTACTCAGCCAATCAACTCGCAGGCCACCTGGAATCCCACCGGTGCTCTCAGCTCTAGTCTTTTTCATTATATCCACAAGAGTTTTTCTTTATTTCTTCACTCTGCCTTTTTCCATCTTGTGTGACAAAGGCCAACAGCCCAGCTTATTCCACAGAACATATGTTCGAGCCGTTGCATTAGGCAGCAATTTCAGGCGGAACCATGAAAAAGGTCAGAGCAGTAAACAGGCCATAAACAGAGTCTGTAATAAAGCAGAGCAAACGCAGAGTGGATGTCTGTCTGGCCTGCTCTGGAACCATGGCTCAGACCCCCCGGAAATCCTCCGCTCCAGGAAACCCAGAGAAATGAGGAAAGACAGTTAAACGTTCAACATCCCTCCCAAACGGCTTGCTATAAAAGCTTATGGACTAGACAAGATCAGAAATGGTGATGCACAGACAAAGAATTAGTGCTGGTGTTTAAAATGGTTGAGTGGAGTGTGTATTTGGCACATAAAGTACTTTTTGGAATATTGTTTCAGTATACATGGCAGCCAAACGTATACAACTACAAAACTAACCACTGATCATGCAGCAACTATGACTAAAGTGTCCAATAAATCTGATGTCTTCAGTCAGCACGGTAATCCATGTGATTCAGGACACTTAAGGGTGACCCTCTTTGCCCTCAACATCACACTCTCTCTTTATCTGAAGTGAATCTACGCCAAGCACACCATGAGTCAGGACCACTGCACCGTCATCGAAATATCTCTCTGTGACAGTAAATGATGCTGTTAAATCTGTGTACTGGCACCAGGCGTGCAGACTGCACCTGTCTTCATATCTATTCTGTCATTTCTCCCTCTGGACTGGTCCTCTCAGCAACACTTACTGGTTTTACTGCAGAAAGCTGGTGCCAGATTACCTAACACTGGGCCAGACACAGAACAATGGATGTTTAAAAGCCATAAGATCTGGATTTTAGGAACTGGCAGGCCAACACTTGGATATCCCTCCATCTTTAAAAGTTCAGCATCTCTGAATAGCTGCTTGCTCACTATTTTTGTTTTCTATTTGGCCCTCAATAACAAATCAAAGACAAACACCAGAGCATGTCATTGATTAGGTAATGCAAAATATCTGGTCTATAAATCTGAATTACTAAATAATAATAAGAATTCCAAACAATCAATGCTAAAAATATGTCTTTTCTTCTTCGTCTTCTTCTTCTTATTATTATTATTATTATTATTTAGAATGAACAATTTAAAATAAAATAGAAAAAATAACAATAACACTGCTAACAATAATAATAACGATAATTGTTGTTGTTGTTTAATATTTTATTTTACAATGTAATTAAGATAACAAGAAATGCATATGTTTAATATTTAGTATTTAGAATAAAGATATTTCTAAATAATCAATATGTTTTTTCTTAATATTAATAATCAACATTTTAAAATACAATATAAAAAATAACAACAAAATTTAATATTTTATTTTAAAATATTAAGATTAGGGTGCATATTATTAATATTTATTATTTAGAAATATGCCATTATTATAATGATTATATTTAGGAAGGGGGAGTAAGTTTAAGTAGGCTATTAGTTTCAGTCTAAAACCTTGTATCACAAAATGATAATAAAACTGAAGTATCAAACATAGACTTTCCACCTTATCCTAAACATTTCGACAGATAATCCAATAATAAGAATCTAGGTCAGATAATAAAAATGTCAATATTCGAACAATGAAAAGTTCTGCGTTTAGAGTCATGGTCCAATGAAATTGGGTCTGGACATGTTTAAGATGCTAAAATAAATGTATTCCTTGGCGATCTCTCAGACGTAAATCAATGTTTTAATGCACTAGAAATAGGCAAATGATCGTATAACCTACCTACTATGTATCGCGAGCCTCATATTGATCCTCTGAGCGCGAGGCTCTAAATGTGTCTGTCTGTAATATGGGTTTCTCCTCGCGCTGCTAGCAGACACCAGCGGCTGAGCAACAGACTGCCTACTGGGATTTTTATGGGACAAGCGCTTCTTGACTTGCTTTGACTTCGGTTAAAATGTCATGACAGTTTACATCAGTGTCCCAGTGCGTAATCTGAGCAATAGTGGGAATGGGAGAAAGGAAAAGAAACAAAAAATTACTTTAAATAGAAAATCCCAAGGATAAATCCCCTAATTCCACTGAACTGCGTTTATAATGGAACCGACAGAGGCCTGTTTTATTTTGCGGTTCCCTGTCGTAATTCTGAAGCAAGTCCCACATAAATCCACTTTTAAACTCCGGACAGCATCCAAGTCTTTGCGGAGAGCTTCTACCTTAAGAAGTTTGCATCCAACTCCATCTAGAGCCGTTTCGGCGTGCTGGAGGTTGAGCTGGCCCCACCCCTCAAAAACACACACTGAGAGACAAAAAACCTGTGATGGAATTGAGTCGAAATGTTGTTTATTTAGATGTTCACCTTAATGGCAAACATCCATCCGTCTATCTGTAATAACAAAATAAATAAAAACATCTGTCGAGACCCTCCAAGACCATCTTTATTCCTTGACCGTTTAAATATATCATAATAGGCTTTGCTATTTAAAGTAAGGAATTTTCCAAACGTTTAGTAGTAAAGTATAATATTTGAGGAAACTGAATTTATGCATTTTATTCTTTGTAAAAAAGAATGTTTACAAACCCCAGACAGTGAATATTTTCTTGATTTGCTGTGTAAACACATTTGCTACCTCAATGTGGCATTAAAAAAATCTTCAAAAATGTGCCTTTTCGTGGTATATTTGTAGATTCAGATGCAGCCTTTATGTCACCTTTGTTTATGAACAGATTTATTAGAAAAAAAAAAAAATAATGATTGGATAACTAATTCAGAGTCGGGATCTGCAATTCATTTTAGTGACCTCTGATGGAAACGGGCAAGTTCAAGCTCAAACCGGTGTGCACCGTTTTGCTACGGTTTCCGGTTTGAACGACATGTTTCCTGGAAAC